TTATTCTCAATTAATATTTAAGTAGTATATAACATATTGTTATTTATTAGCGATATCACACTTTGTACTATTAGCGCCTTCAATTAGTGCTGTCGAAATCCAAAGAGTTATTGAATGTCCAGTAAAATCGTCGATGCGCCGTTGAATACAGAATGATGATTCTGTTTTTACGCCGTTTCCGCCCGTAGTTTTTAGTCACAGAATGTATTTTCAAGAGAAATTAATTAATCATCTGAATTATAAAAGAACATTTTTTTATGGTAACAATTAAGTTTTTTGTATGAATGTAAGTGCTGTGAATATAAATAAACCCATAACGGGGGAAATGGAACAATATCTGGTAACCCAGTAAAAGTACCTCCCGCCTATTTCTATCTCAAAAGCATACGCGAATGCTTTATCTAGTCAATCCTCTATCTACGGTTCAGAACTACACAAACCACAGTTAACTGTATACTAGTCAGAGACAAACAAGCTCGGAATAAATAAAAATATCATTTGACAAATAACGGTCTTTTTTACTTTTTTATGACTGGAAGGGCACCATCTTGTAAAACCATCAAAAACTTGGGATTGCATTTTTATTTTTAGCAAGTTATTTAGGTTATTTAGTTTGATTTATTCTCTCATTTTATTTTTAACAAAATCCCTCAATTTTTTTTTTACGGTATACTGTACATATACTGGACCAGAAATGGACCGTCTCCTTTGAATAAAGTTCAGAAAATATTTTCAATATGAAAGACGTAAACAAAGAAATGTCATTTTTTTCTTCTTTTAATTCATGGCTTCTTTGATAGAATTTTATTTCAAAAGAAGCCATAACTTATTTCTACGGTGGTAGAGCCACACGGCAGCTCTTGCTGTTGCACGTATGGGCCGGCTCGAGCCGGGTTGATACCACGACCTCACAGAATACCGGCGTGAATTAGAAGCTCTGCTTTTGCGTTTCCTCTGGAGAGTGCAGGTGGCCCAATTGCCCCCCACCCCACCCTTAACATCAACATGGTAGCGGCATTAAATGAAAAACTACCCCAGGAGGGTACCAGCACTCCTGGAAAACCCCTCGCTGAGCATCCACGACCAAGCTACTCCACTCCTGAGCGTGCGTGCTCAGGCTGCCCTGTGTATTCTGGGGTGGAGGAGGTGGGGACAAAATTCCGCTCAAAACAATAACTGCTCGGGGCGAATTGAGCAACAAGACCAAGGCGACCCCTGCCACGCTATCCGTTAATTTATGCAACATCAGGGGACCTCACTCTAACATAAACGCCGTCCCCTACCATCTCGAGACGGCGAAGCCGGCCTTGCTCTTTCTGACCGAGATTCAGGTGTCCTCTCCAGCTGATACTTCGTATCTCTTCTACCCGGGGTACAAATTGGAACAGTCCTTTGTACCTCGGGCTGGAGTTTGCGTATACGTCAGAGAGTCTTCTCATCTGTTCTCGATGCCTCGGCAGTCTTGAAGGTTCGGACCTGTCAATCCTTTGGCTACACTTAGACAGTAACGACCATCTGCGCGTCTACGGGTCCCATAGCGGTAATGCCGAAACAGACCGACTCATCGACCACGTCTAAATGGCTACAGATTCCTCACTACAACAAGTTACATCCGCAGAGATCGTGATCCTTGGCGATTTTAACGCCCACCACGCCGAATGGCTCGGTTCACGTTTAACCGATCATGCGGGGAGATCTGTTCATGATTTTGCCTTGGCATATGATCTGACACAACTGGTTATTACGCCTACGCGGATCCAGATGTGGAGGATCATGCGCCTTCCCTGTTGACCTTCTGCTTACTTCTCATGCGGATAGATATCAGACCTCCGTCGATGCCCCTCTTGGCTCCTCGGACCATTATCTAGTCGGGAGTATGGTGCCACTCACGCTGAAATCGCGGTTGCTCTCTGCAGGATGCCGCCGTGTTTGGCACTATAGGTTGGCCGATTGGAATGGGATGCAGTCTTTCTTTGCATCCTACCTGGCTGACTGGGGGCGGATTTGCTTCACGCCGCACGATCCCAACGTTGTTGCTTATTCTGTTGCTGATGTGGTACTTCAGGGTATGGAAATTTTTATTCCTTCCTCTGTGGTGCCGATTGGAGGCAGATCTCAGCCATGGTTTAGTCGCTCCTATAAATTGACATCACGCTACAAGCAGGAGTACTATCGGGCCTGGGCTGACGCATCAACGTACCGGGATGTAAACACCAGCGCCCTTAAAAAGAAGTATAATTCCGCCTCCAGGTCTTTCAAAAGAGTCATTGCCAAGGCAAAGTTAGAGCACATAGACAGAATAGGCGAGAAACTAATTCGCCTTTATTCGGGAACCCGTGCATTCTGGTCTCTCGCCAAGGCTATCCAGGGGAACTTCTGTCAGCCATCTCTTCCATCTCTGCACATGGAGAACGACTCATTGGCTCATGTCGCAAAGGAAAAAGCCGATCTGCTAGGTCAGTGCCGTCTTTACAAGGTATGAGGCCCTAGGCCCAAATATCGACGTGGCCCCCAATAAATGTAGAAAAATTAAACCTTTCGAATATCAAAACCTGAAGTCTTATAGCGTAACACTATAGTTGTAATTCGCATAGAATTATTACGCATAGAAACGCAGCCTAGTACAAAACACGAGAGTTAAAATGATGCAAGGTCATTATGTTAGTGGGCGCGAGTCGAATGTGCCTACACTCGTCACACGCACACATACACGTCATTCAGTGATGCCAGTTTCTGGCGTTTGCAATCAAATTGTGCAAATCACTATTTTTTGATTAATTTTAAAGATCAATATAATAAAGATTACGTATTACGTATGAGAATACAAAATGAAATAAAATAAACACGATATTGATGGTACTAATATAACTTTATTATACATATATTAATGGTACAAAAATGCAGACGTAATAAAATTTAAGAATATTATTAAACACAATTAATTTGCTCGAATACAATTAGCACATCGTGTAATGTTTAATTTTAACCGACTTCAAAAAGGGGGGGATGTTATCAATTCGGTGTATTTTTTAATGTTTTTTACCTCAGAATTCTACAATTTCTAAACCGATTTAGATTTTTTTTATTTGAAAGGATATACACACAGATTGATCCAATATACACGCTGAAATTTTAATGGTTGTTTTCCCGAAGTAAACTGATTTTGCCTTAGTAGTACAATAGATTTATTAAAATAAAAATTATTAGGATGTAAAAATGGCAGATTTACAATCGAGAAAATCAAAACTCGAATGCGATCTCAAACCAATAGCAATATCTCGCAAGTAGGTCGGGCGTGCAGGCTAGCTTATACCGAATTACTATAATAAAGTGTGCAAAAAAAATATCGCTGGACGTAATGTAGTGTTACGTCTATCGCACGCGCTACTGCGCGCTTCCTACACAGTGAAGGACCACTAATAAATGTTCATAACATGAACTCTCAAGCGTAGTGATACGACATAAACAAGTCTGGACGCCCGACTAGCTTGTGAGGTATTACTATTGTAAATCTGCCCTTTTTAATTGTAATATTTTTTAAATTAATAAATCGAGACAGTATAATTTGGCTACGGGACAACGACCACTAAAATTTCAGCATGTATATACCTACCAATTGATCAAGCTTAGAAATCAGTGTACATAAATATTGATAACCTTTCTTTCTTTTAAAAAAAAGTGTTGGAGTGGGTCTTTTTTTAAAAAAAAAAGTGTACATACATATTGATAACCTTTCTTTTTGGGAGTCGGTTAAATAGGCTATGTTTGGGTCTAACGTAACATCTGGTTAATGTTTGGGTGTAAAGTGACATCTGGTTAGTAAAGGCGTTCTTATTAATAATCTCTTGATGTTGTAAATAAAAAGTTTTTATTCTATACTCTAAAACGTAGCCTTAGTCAATAAACAAAGCAATTAAAATAAAATAGTTGCGTTAAAATGGCGTCGATGAATCGCGATTAGCTGATCACTCCGTATTAGTTTTAAATAGGCACCCATTGTTAATATAATGTTAACACTTAGAGAAGTAGGTATCTATATATAAACATTTGAGTTTTACACAGAGCGTTGCGATTAAGCGTTTTAAACACAAATAGAAAATAAATATTTTTAAAAGAAAATTGTGATTTTTTCCCCACAATTACTAGCAACATTTGTATTATGAGGGCTTAGGAAAATATTTTTTTAGTTTTACCTACTTATAATGAATTAAATCTGTAAACTTATATGTGAAATGTAATACTATCATTTCTTTTATGTTTATCATCACCGTTGTGACAATATTTTACAACACAAACGGTAATTTTTACAATTTTTCGCGAGCTCTTCTCCGTAAGATGTGACGTTGCGCACCATAGATAATACACTATATACCAGGGACTGACTGTTGCGCACTGACGCGTCTCCAGTATTATATATTAGTCTATGCTGACGCGTCGCTGAGTCAACTTACGCGGTTTCGCGTTAGTATTACTTGCTTCACTTTCGGTACGCGTACTAGTATTCTATGCGTAATAATTCTATGGTAATTCGCTTTTATAGAAGCTTAGATCATAATCACTTAATATGCACATAAGGAACTATTTCAAATGACACCAGACAAACTTTATTTAAAAATAGCCCTAAATTATTTTTGAAATGATTTTACATACAGTAAGATATTTGCTATAGTGTAGATAAAAAAATTCTGCGTAATAAATCTGTAGATTTTATTTGTGTAAAAAATATCTGTTTAGAATTATTTCGAGTTCGGTTTAGAATTATCTTCGTGTAGTTTGTCCAGTGTTTTTCAATACTTTCAAATTTACCGCGCGCTCTGCTCTAGTAGCGCGCGTATGCGCGACTGGAGCTCCATACGTGTTTTGACAAGCTCAGAGTATAGCGTTTATAAAACAAGCTTTCGCCTGTCATTACTTTTGCTTGCGACTGAATGCAAGTCCGTGTGATTTGTGACGTAACGTTTATCTTTGTTTTAAGCGATAGTTCAGTGTGAAAACTCAAAATGAAACGTGTATATCTAAGTGGGGCGCAAAAGCGTAAAAAAGGAGAAGTAAAGGAAAAAGAAATATTCAAGCTACAAAAGATATCAGACTTTTGTACGCTTTTGAATAAAGAGACTCAAGCTGTTCCTAGTACTTCTAATTTAAATATTTTTGACATACAAATCATTGAAGAAGGTATGTCAATTTTTAGTGGTTGCTGAAGAAAATTTTTTATGTGATATAGCATTAGGTATATCAATGTTTATACGAATATCTTCTTAAATTTTTTTACTATTAAACGGTTTTATTTTATTATATTCTGTTTAGCTTGATCGTATGTTATTGTTTAGAGTATGTTTACTGCATTAAGACTTCGGAACAGTTATTGTTATATGTATATTACATCATTTTTGAATTTAATAGCAGCGAATAACGAGTCCATCAATCCTTCAACCTCACTAATAGCCAGAGCGTCAGGTGCAGAAAATTTAAATGAAGAGTCTCAAGTTGTTCATAGTACTCCGTCTACTTCGAGTTCAAATGTTTGTATCGTACAAAACATTGAACAAAGTAATACTATATCACATCAGTAAACCTTTTATCTACTGTATTGTCTTATTTTATTATATATTGTATCACTTGCTCGTATGTGATTGTTTATATATATATATATATATATATATATATATATGTATTTTTTTATCAACAGCGAATACGGAGCCCATCGATCCTTCAGGATCACTGATACCAAAACTGTCAAATTTAGAAAATAATGAGATTGAACAGTCTAAATAAGGTAATATTATTTTAATAAATGTCATTTAATCATAGAATTATTGCGCGTAATAATTTTATGCATTTAATAGTTTGGTTTCAAATAAAATCTGCAATGAACGTACCTTAATTTCTATTATTGTTTATTTACTAATTATGGGTATGTTAAGTATTGCATGCATTAACTGACTAACTGTTAACAAACATAGTATTATTTATTTAAAATTTTCTTTTTATGATAAACTGTAATTTTATATTTTTTTATGTTTTAGATTCAGATTACTGTACGCAAAATAATGTCAACGTTTACGTTTCATCAGATCCTAACTTTTTTTTAACTGGCTTTACGGCTCTGGGTTCTAGCCCTTTTCAGATCCAAGTCACAGATAACTGTATACTAGTCAGAGATCCAAGTCTGTGGAAGCACAGAATAAATAATAGTACTAACCATAGATTAATGATAAGCGTAGATAGAGAATCCGGCGCTCATGTAAAATGCGCAACAAATACTACGCCGAAATCGGCGTACCCGAGCCAGTCGCGTTGCAGGCAACGTGTGAGGTGAACGTACCGAATGTTTTATTAAATTTTGATCACAATCCGAAGTAAAATACCAGTTTACGTATTGAAACTGTGTAAAAATAATACTACAAGAAATAAGAAAGACACTGGAATCACATACTATCATTAAGTATCATACAATTTCGAAATTTTAACATAAAATAACACGAGCCATAAATAAGTTACAAAATATCAACGACGCTATTCAGTGTTGCCCCATATGCAAAAATGAAGTTCCCCGTGGCTGAGATTTTTATATGTGAATTTATTGTTACCATATTTTATAATATAATATATTAAACTTATTATAATATAACCTAATTCTATATTATTTAATGTTTATTGCTGTAGTATTGCTCAAATGACATAATTGCCATTTACTAGGGTTCCGTACCCAAAGAGTATCAACGGGACCCAAGTCTCCACTATCGTTCCGTCTGTCTGTCAGTAGGCTGTATCTAATGAACCTTAATATGTAGATACTTGGAATTTTCATAGAATTTTTTTCGTTTCCTGTATGAAGACCATACAAGAAACGTGATTTTTTTCTGTATGTGATATGTGTTTTGTTTCCAGACTAAAAGCGAAACCCGGATTGACACGAAATAAAATGATGCTGTGTGTATGGTGGTATTGAAAGTTTATCATCAGCTTTTACTGCCGGGTAAAACCATCGATTCGGATCTCTACTACCAATAAATAATGAGACAAGCAAGAAATAGAAAAAGAAACGTCTGGCATTGATAATCAGAAAAAGAGTGGTCTTTCATCATGATAACGCCAGATCACAAGATTAGTTATCTGTTTGAGACTTTCAATACACACTAACATTCCTAAAAATCCAGTATTTGCTTGAGTACTTAAAACTGGTTTAAAAGTTTTAGTCATTATTTTCTTTTGTTGCTTGTGTTCTTTAAAAGAAAGCTTTCTGGAGGTTTTAATATTTAAGTTTATAATTTTGTTTCCCATTATAAATGGGATGACTAAATCCATGTTCCTTCAAATCTTTGGTATATATTCATATAAAATAAAATTACTTGTCGCATTTTTTTAATCAAAATGCCAAGATTTCTACAGGTAATAAAACTTTAAAACAAAAACGTCTTGAATTTGTATACAATATACGAAGAAACTTTTTCCCGTCTTATATATTAACTAAAGTTGTAACAAAATAGTACTTAATAACTTAGGGAATGATTCTGCCCATCAACGTGAATATTTTTTATGATGGGATCATCTTCGAAATTTTCAATTTATACGTGATAGACCCATACTGCAGCTATATTACTGGTATAGTTGTAGCACGAATGGGTCAGCTCGACCGGGGACGGACCACGCTCTCACAGATTATCAGTGTAAAATAGGAGCTTAACGCTGCTGTGTTTCCTATGGTGAGTGTAGAGAACCGGAGACCCTTTTTACTGGAAAGGAGGCATTCCATCTTAGTCCTCAGGGGTTGCAACGCATCTGCATTTGATTCTTAACCGAGGATAGATGTATATGTCTATGGGCCACAGCAACCACTTACAATCAGGTGGACTGAGTGCTCGTTTGTCACCCTGATCCTATAAAAAATATCTCAAAGTCAGTTATTCCATACAAAATTTCGTACAAACTTGCTCAAAATGTATGGAAGACCTGATTTTTCTTGCGATTAGGAAGATAGATCTATAGTAAAAGTTGTTCATATTGACGCGTAGAATAGAAAGCCCAATTTTGATTACACCATATATATAACTATTTTTTAAAATAATTTGTGAATATTAGTTACACGTATAAATAAAAAAATTAAACTGATAAAAAGGAGGCCTTATCATTTATATGTCATTTATTCAGAAGAAAAACCTATACATAATATACACAAATACATTCGTTATTAATAAACTATTCATTTTTAAGTATTTCTGGAATACATTCATAACTATGAAGTTGCACTCTTTTGATGTTGACTGCTTGCCGACGTTTTAATAGCCTACATAGTTATTATGAATCAGATAAATCGCGCACGCAAGCTAAATAAAACTTTATCGCTGCGCACGATTGTCCGTATTACCTTGCATCTTTTCTCCTTACTACGTCACAACGGACTTTCCATGGTCGCTAAGGGCTGTTAATAAAGAGTAAAAAAATACATTGTGAAATGGTAATTTACCTAGGTAAAGTACCTATGCTGACTATAATCGACCATATTATTTACTATGTGAGTTCTGTGATGCCCAACGCATGCAACTTTCAAGGCCACTCGTCGGGAATCGCGATGCTTGGTTTGTATATTATGTAGATAGCGTAAACAACAAATAAACCCGAAATACGATTTCTAACAGAAATATGATCGTAATCTACTTACGAGGGGTGATCCAAAAGTAATGATAATCGGTTACTTCAGGTCCGCATAAAAATCCAAAAAAAATATTTTTTGCTTGCTTATATACTCACTACGTCAGCCTAAAAAAAATCATATAAATAGATCACGATTTCCGGAAGATACATTCATTTGAATACGAACTAAAAAACGAACGAAAAAATCGAGTTGACATTTCGAGGGTCAATCTCGAAAAGTTCCAAGCAGATCAAGAAAATTTTTTGTTCCGTTTTGTGACTATGGACGAGACCTGGATCCACCATTTTGATCCTGAAACGAAACAACAATCGATGACTTGAAAGCGAGCCTCCTCACCGACGCCAAAGAAATTCAAAGTTTCAAGTTCGGCGGGAAAGGTTATGGCATCTGTTTTTTGGGACGCTCAAGGCATAATTATGGTGGAATATTTGGAAAAGGGAGACACTATTACGGGCTCTTACTACGGGAGGCCATTAAGGAAAAAAGACGCGGTAAACTGCGAGCTGGAGTGCTGTTTCACCAAGACAACGCACCGGCTCACAAAGCCGCAGTTGCGATGGCTGCCATTCAAGAAACGGGATTCGAACTGCTCGAACACCCTCCTTATTCGCCAGATCTAGCTCCTAGTGATTTCTACCTCTTTCCTCGGCTCAAGGAACGCCTCCGAGGCAATAAATTCGAAGACGATAGCGAATAATGGCCGCTGTTGAAGCGTTTTGGGAGGGTCAAGACAAAGAATTTTTTTCAAATGGAATCCTGGGTTTAGAAAAAAGATGGACTAAATGTATTGATTTGTTAGGAGACTATGTAGAAAAATAAATTATTATTTTAACTTTAATTACCGGGTTTTATTTTCATTATCATTACTTTTTAATCACCCTGGTAGTTGAAAATCTTGTAAACAAAGTTTTAATTTCAGTATTTTGTGCTATTATAACTTAAAATATTTTAATTACAAAGACGATTATAGGTTTGTAAGTAAGTACCTACTTAGTAGTAGGTACTTACTTTAGTCATCATCATCATTATTCATCATTACAGCCCTTCACAAGTCCACTGCTGAACATAGGCCTCCCCCAAAGAATGCCACAAAGCACGGTCCTGAGCCACCTGCATCCATCGACCTCCCGCATGTCTTACCAGGTCGTCACTCCATCTCGTGGGGGGACGCCCTACACTTCGCCTACCGGTACGAGGCTGCCACTCGAGAACCTTTCTTCCCCATCGGTTGTCGGTTCTTCGAGCTATATGGCCGGCCCACTGCCACTTCAGCTTACTAATCCGTTGGGCTATGTCGGTTACTCTGGTTCTACTGCGGATATCCTCATTCCTAAGTTTATCACGCAGAGAAACTCCGAGCATAGCCCTCTCCATAGCTCGCTGAGCGACCTTGAGCTTCCTCATACGGCCAGCAGTGAAGGACCACGTCTCAGTTCCGTAAGTCACCACTGGCAACACGCACTGGTTGTACAATTTCGTTTTCAGGTTTTGAGGTATGTTTGACGAGAAGATGTATCGTAGCTTCCCGAACGCTGCCCAGCCGAGTTCAATCCGTCGATTGACCTCTCGGTCGAAGTTGGACTTACCTAGTTGGACTATTTGTCCCAGGTAAACATACTCGTCAACAACTTCGAGCTTAGTGCTCCCAACAACTACCGGCATAGGTGTGACATGGACATTGAACATGATCTTTGTTTTGTCCATGTTCATCTTAAGACCTATCCGTTGGGAAACACTATCGAGGTCATTGAGCATAGTGCTTAGGTCCTCCAGCGATTCTGCCATAAGGACTATATCGTCGGCAAATCGAAGGTGAGTGATGTACTCGCCATTGATGTTGATACCGTATCCTTTCCAGTCCAGAAGCTTGAAAACGTCTTCCAATGCAGCGGTGAAGAGTTTCGGGGATATGACGTCACCCTGTCTTACACCTCTCTGCAATTGGATAGGTTTCGTACTCTGATTCTGTACTCGGATAGCCATCGTAGCCCTACTGTACAAGCACTTCAACACTTCGATATACCGATAGTCAACTTGGCACCGCTGAAGGGACTGCAGCACCGCCCAAATTTCGACGGAATCAAAGGCTTTCTCATAGTCCACATACGCCAGACATAGTGGCAAATTGTACTCTTCGGACTTCTGTACAATTTGCCGAAGGGTATGTATGTGGTCTATGCTGCTAAAGCCCTTTCGGAAACCGGCTTGTTCGGGAGGCTGGAAGTCGTCAAGTCTGCGCGCGAGACGATTCGTAATGACTCTCGAAAACAGCACGTAGACGCGGCTCAGAAGGGAAATCGGTCTGTAGTTCTTCAAGAGAGCGTTGTCACCTTTCTTGAAGAACAAGACCACCGCACTTCTGCTCCACGCCTCCGGTGTAATGCCACCATGGAGGACGGAATTAAAGAGCTTCTGAAGGACTTCAAGTACCGGTCTTCCACCCGCTTTCAGAAGCTCCTACTTTAGTAGTGAAGTAAATTTCAACTAAGTTTTGTAATAAAGTGCTTAGGTATTACGTCTGTAGTTAAATTATTACTTTATTTTTTTTTCGCTATAAGTACATCTAACAAAAAAATTAAATAAATTTACTTTTCATTATCCTTCTGTAATTCAAAAAATGATATATCTGAATCCTTTTAATAGCTCATTAAGCATCCATCCCCGCAACAATTATAGTAGGAACGATGTTTTGCCATTATAACTTATCAAATAGATAGGTAGTATACATATATATTATTCCTAAATTACATTAAAACTTCTTCAACTGTTTTATCCTACAATTAAATATACTAAACACTAAACAAAAACTATTTCAACGAGTATTACAATAAGTATTTACAAATAATTATTTACGTAAACAGCGTTAAAAAAGCTTTATCATTCAATCGTATAGAACGCGCTAGCCCCTACTGCGATCTACCCCCCTGGGACAGCTCGCGATTGTAGGTAATTATTTCACGCAGGTAGCAAGAGTGACAGAGGCCTGGTGGAAGGTTGACGAGGACGTTATATCATACTGCATAAGAAAAAGGTTCAAGTTTTTGTCGAAATAAAGATTTAGATTTCAAGAAATCAGTTCGAACTTACAAAGAGTCTAATGGCCAACAAAAAGTCGACGTTTACAAAAATCCCTGTTTCACACCGAACTTAAAAATGGCGAAACTGTAGATAGAGAATGGTTACTTTATTCACCTTGAAGCGGATCAGTTTATTGTTTTGTATGTAGGTTATTTTCAACAAAAAATAGCCAATTTAGTCGGACCGGATTCGATGACTGCAAAAATGGCGTTAGACGAGTTAAGGAACACGAGGATAGCCATGAACAAAGAACACAGTGCTTAAATTATATATAGCAAACGTAAAAGCACAGTAGGCTGAATTGATGATCAAATATTAAATCAATTTAACAAAGAAATGCAGTATTGGCACGATTTGCTAAACCGACTTGTCGTCGCTATCAAGTTCTTAGCAAGTAGAGGTCTTGCATTCCAAGGATTAAACAAGAATTAGGATTAGTAGAAGTTTTATGTCAGTTTGATCCGTTTTTAAAAAATCATTTCGATTTATACGGCAACAAAGGTCAGGGACGAGTATCCTACTTATCCGTTAATATTTGCGAAGAGCTTATCGAATTAATGGGAAAAAGAGTTTTAGAGTACATAATTCGTGAATTAAAAAAATCAAAGTACTACTCAATATGTGTAGATTCTACACCAGATATTATTCATATCGATTAATTGACATTTACTGTTCGGTACGTTGTCGATGATAGCCCAATTGAAAGATTTATGATCTTTATACCTATCGAAGCTCATGGTGCAGAATATTTAGCAAATGTTGTTATTAGCTTTTTAAAAGACAATGACATAGATTTAAAGGATTATAGAGGTCAGTCATACGACAACGCTGCCAACATGTCCGGACAATATTCAGGACTGCAAGCTAGACTTAAAGAAATAAATCAATATGCAGAGTACATCCCATGTTCTGGACATTCTTTAAATCTAGTAGGTGTCAGAGCAGCAGAATGCAATTTACAAATTACATCATTTTTTAGTCTTTTGCAGAAACTGTACGCATTTTTCTCATTATCGACGTATCGCTGGCAAAAGCTAGTAAAATCTTTAAAAGAAAAAAAGATTTTAGAGTCATTATCTGATACGAGGTGGTCAGCACGTGCTGATGCTGTAAGCACTATACATGACAGCCATTCTGAAGTTTTGGATACTCTTGACGATACGTGGTAGAGCCATGCTGCATCTATATTATGGTTGTAGCACGAATGGGTCGGCTCGACCGGGGAAGGACCACGCTCTCACAGAATACCAGCGTAAAATAGCAGCTTAACGCTGCTGTGTTTCGTATGGTGAGTGTAGAGAACCGGAGACCCTTTTTACTGGAAACGAGGCATTCCATCTTAGTCCTCACGGGTGACAACGCATCTGCATTTTGACTCTTAATCGAAGATAGATGTAGATGTCTATGGGCCACAGCGACCACTTACCATCAGGTGGACTGTGTGCTCGTTTGTCACCCTTATCCTATAAAAAAAAAAAAAAAAATATATCGACCGATAAAACACAAAAAAATGATACGCAACTCGAAGCACTAAAGAGTGATTTAGACGATACAATTTTCTATGCATTGCACTTTAATGTACAACATTCAAGTGCAATTATTGAATGCAATAAATTAAGTGCGTTAATTGCCCTTCAAGAATTGTACGCAACTGTTTACACGTGGATACAAGTAAAAAAATTGAACGCAATTATTGAATGCAAGTCTTGACAAAAAATAGTTGCAAATGTCTTCTGTTTAGACCAATACAATAATGTTTAGGAGATTATTGCTTTCAAGTTTTGACTTGTCTAAATGGAGAGTTGTATGTGCGTGTACCATTTATTGGCGGGTTGCTTCAAGTATTGCACGTATTTGCGTTGTCAAATTTTCCATTCAAGTGTTGGAAGGTTTTGTAAAGAGTCTGTTTATTAAAAAATATGAGTCAAAAAGTGTTAAAATTTGGTTCTGGTGACTTAATAAAGTTTATTGAGATTTATCGCAGTCATGAGTGTTTGTGGGACACTGAAAATGTGAATTACAAGAATCGTGATGCACGTAGTGCTGCACTTGTAGCATTTTCACAAGAATTTGGAGTTGATGGTTTGGGACCTAAGGAAATTACAAACAAAATAAAAAACTTAAGAACGCAGTATCATGCGGAAAGGAAAAAGATAAAAGATTCAATGAGCACTGGTTCCGGCACTGCTGATATTTACAAGTCCAAACTCTCTTGGTATAATTTAATGGATTTTTTTTAAGGAAAACTTCTGAACACAGAGAAACAACATCAAATATGGTAAGTATGTATTTATGTAAATTTTCTAAAGTACAGTCAAGTGCATAATATTATAAATGTGAAACTTTTTTTTCATTAAAAAATGGCACTGTCTTGTTAAGGTACAGCACCATCATTGTTAAAGTAATGACAATAATTATCATGGATTCTTATAGCTTCCCTTGTACTATTCCTGTTGTTCTGTGATGTTATATTTTCAAAAGCTCCGCCTGAAGCATTTTGTCTCCAAGTACCAAGACGAAGACCACTTCTTTGACATTCTTCGTCTATAAAACCTGGTGGGGTGTAAGACGCAGGTGAAGTTTTCCTAAGCCAGTTGTGTAAAGCACATGATGTTTTCACTATGACATCTACCTTGTCTATACTTGTAGTGATTGGCTTTTCGAAAATTCGAAATCGGGATGTTAAAACTCCGAAAGCATTTTCAACGATTCTCCTACATCTACACAATCTGTAGTTATAGATTTTTTGTTCTCTACTTAAATCGTTACGGCAAGGATATGGTTTCATCAAATAAGGTTTTAAAGAAAACGCTTCATCTCCAACAAGTACTGCATTACTTGACAAATTTATGGTATTCTCTTCAATAGCCTTCTTTAAAGTACAATTATTAAATATTCCACCATCAGAGTTTCTACCTTTTGCTCCCACGTCAATGTATGTGAAACAATAGTCGTGATCAACACAAACTAGTAACACAATACTAAATGTACTTTTATAATTAAAGTCTGATTCTGTGCCAGGGGGACATTTTACGTTTATATGCTTTCCATCAATGGCACCAAAGCAGTTGGGAAAATTCCATCTTATAAAAAAGCCCCTTATTATTTGATTCCATTCCTCTTCAGATCTTGGCACCTGTAAAATAATGAAATAAATGTATGTTTTTAGAATGATACGTCCCTGGCATCACAAGAAATAGTTTTTGAATATTTTGAAAATGAAAATACGGAAAATATTGAAAATGTTATAAATTCAAATATACAAGTCGTCGATGATGTGCTTCCGTTTCCAATGCCTAAAAAAACAACTAAAAAAGCAAGTTACATAGAATAGGCCTTAGATAAACTGGACAATATTGAAAAAAGAGCAAGACTTGAAAAAAAAGACGATGATTTGGACAATTTCGGAAAATATGTTGCGTCTTCATTGCGAATTTTGAATACCGAAAATAGCATACATGCTCAGGACGAAATACAAGCAATATTATCAAAATATAAACTGCAAGATCTTCGAGAAAAAGAACGACAAAACTCTACTCCAATGCCAGAATCCCCGTATTCGAAACAAGGCAGCGAAGACACATGGTTGAACATGTAATTTTTTTTCTATTTTAATTAAATATCTGATTCCGTAGTTTATATTTTGATAATAAATAAATATTGCTTATTTTTCGTTCTGAGCATAAATAGTAATTAACAATTTCTAATTATTTTGCTGAAAATATATGATTCTATTATAAAAACTGTTTTATTTCGAACTCACCTATAAATCTCTGTATTATAAAATCTTCTAATACAGAGTAAATAGCTTCAAGAACTTCGATCAAGAATGTACTTATAGTACACCTAGGTACTCTAAATAATTTTGACAGTGTACCAAACGAATCTCCAGTTGCCAAATATTTTAATGCTATTTCTAGTTTTGTTCGAGCAGGAATAGCATTACGCATTGTTGTATTTTGCCTTTGTATAGAAGAACCAATTTTATCTAATAAATAATAAAACTGGGTTCTGTTGACACGAAACATGTTCTTAAAGTCATCTTCATTTTCTGCCGACTTCCAAAAAGGAGCCGGTACTCAATTCGACTGTATGTTTTTTTTTTTTTCGTTTTTTTTTTATGTGTGTTACCTCAGAACTTTTTTCTGGGTGAACCGATTTCGATGATTCTTTTTTTATTTGAAAGCTGGTACTTCTCGTGTGGTCCCATATGAATTTGATCAAGGTCAGACCAATAGTTATTAAGTTATTCTTAAATAACTTATATTGAAGTCGGCTGTACAAAATTTTTAATTTTAAATTATCTATTTGTAATTCTACACAAAGATTGTTAGACGCTCCAAGAACTCCTCTTCTTGCTATCCATTTTTTGATCCAACACCTCTTTTTACGACGACTTCTCAATATTTCTTGTCTTAGAAGAGCAGCAACGATTAACACACCTTCACTTACTGCACTCATGTTGGCAAATAAAGAGAAAACTAATTGAATGCAAGAATCGTCTAAGAAATTTTTGTATGTGCTGTTTACACCAAGAAAATTTTGGCAAGCAAAACTTGCGCAAAAGATCAAAATATTACGTACTGTTTAGACCATGCAGGTAATTTATTGCTTCAATTTTATTGTATGCAACAGGCAAAAAACTTGCATCATGTAAATGAGCCCAAGTCTTAAGAAAAAGCTTGAAAAATTTAGTAATATATTTCTAATTGTAGTTTGGAACGATATTTTATTAAAAATTCACGCAACCAACTTAACTTTACAAACTGAAAAATTCATTTGGGTAAAGTTGTTGTGATTTACTCGATTCTTTAGTACACTATTTAAGCAATTTAAGAGGTCAATTCGATTTATATTTGGGTAAAGCAAAGAAATTTGCGAACATTGATGAAATTCCCAATGAAGACAAGCACCCTAAAATAAGAAGTGTCAAATTAACGAGAAATGAAGGATCTAGTCAAAATACTACGTTCAATGCATGCGATAGTTTGAGAATAGAGATATTTTATCCAATAATTGACTCTCTGATTTCAAGTCTTAAGCAACGAAGAACCGTCTATGATATAATGATTTTAGTTTTTTCACACACTTACGTAATCTCTCTGAAGATTCGATAACGGAAAATTGTAGTAAACTAGCAAAAAATATGATAAGGATTTATCAGAAGAAAACTTAATTTCTGAATGTATTCAGTTTAAATATTATTTGCTAGAAACTAGAAAAGAGATACTCGTACAGTTAGATTTCTCAGATTTGTACACCCAAATTAAAAAAGAATGTTTGAAATCTACTTTTCCTAATATAGAAATAAGTTTACAAATTTTTTTAAGCATGATGGTCACGAATTGTAGCGGCGAGAGATCATTTTCAGCATTAAAGTTTAAAAAAATTGATCATCGAAATGGCATGTTAAATCCTCGATTGAATTATCTTTAGATTATGTTTATAGAATCGGACATTTTAAATAATATAAGTTTTGACGATATAATTTCTGATTTCGCTCACCAAAAATCAAGAAAAAAATTGTAATGTTACATTTCCATATTACATAGTAAATATTATATTATATTATAAATTAAATGATTAACGTAATTAATTACTTTATTTTTATTACTATTATGGGGGTTTTAAAGCTTACGATTTGTTATTGAACGTTCTTTCTAAAGGATGATTGTAAATGATTTTCTGCAATTGGGGGGCCCCCAACATGCCTAGGGCCCTAGGCCCGGGCCTATTAGGACTTTGCGTAAAGACGGCACTGTGCTAGGTTCTTTCTTTGCGTCCAACTCGACTATCGATGGCGGGGGGAAGACACCGCCGATTATCCCGCGGTGTGAGTGCTCCATGCCGGATGTGCGGTTCACACAGCGTTCAGTTCGCAAAGCACTCCTCTCCCTAGACATCCACAAGTCGAGTGGGCCTGACGGAATCCCCCCAATTGTGCTGAGGACTTGTGCCCCGGAGCTGGCATCGGTTCTAACGCGTCTTTTCCGGTACTCCTACTCCCTAGGCGTAGTCCCGAAAACATGGAAGACGGCTCTTATCCACCCGATCCCTAAAAAAGGCGACAGCTCAGACCCGTCTAACTACAGGCCTATCGCAATCACCTCTTTATTCTCCAAAATAACGGAATCCATTATAAACTGCCAGTTCATGCGGTACCTTGAGG